GTTGTTCTAACAAATGTAATGTGTTTTGAAATGGAAATCTGTGATAGTCCTGTTTAGTATTGATGTTTTCACTGGAGAAGAACTCAACCATTTTCCATTATTGTTTTCTAGCAAAACCATTTTAGTCACTAAATCCCCGGCTTTGGAAACACTCAGACACATAAGCAATTGTTTGAAGGATTGGGGCCTAATTTTTTAACAGCTTCTTATTTTAAATTAGGCTTTTTTTGAGACATAGGAGGAAAAAAATCAGACAGGTGTTAAATATAATCCCATTGCCACTGTTGTGAATCGTTTCTTAATAATTATAAATCAGATTTTTTTACTTTATTAAAAAAATCCACCACATGCTAAGATTTAAGCACAGAGCAAATTTTCATGATCGAATTCTAACCCCTTGAAAATAATGGATTACAACAGAAGTGTTGGCACACCCATAATTACAGGGGCCTCTTGTTAAATGAGACCAAATCCTGCTCTATGTATGTATTCCCAATGAAATCATTGACACTGCATATGCTGGTCAGACATACAGGATTTTAATACTGTTAATAATCATAGTATGATGTAGAGATTATTAGGATCCTGGTTTGGGGAAATAGGCACCTCCAAAGGATTTGGAGCTATTATGTGGGCAGTGGCATTTATGCTTCACATTACCCCATTCCAACTTTAGAGAGAGCGTGCAGGTTTGTGCCCTTGCTTTGGCCTTGATTCAAAGCCCACTGAGGACAATGGGGGTCCTTTGATATGCTTTGGACCTGGCCATTTGTTAGGTTATATTTGTGTATGGTTATTAGAACTGGGGGAGTACAAGAGCCACCAAAGTCCGTTTTATAGCTGAGGTCCCCTCAGAAGAAGGATTCACTTGGGTCTTTATCTGGTAACCCTTACTAAGGCAAGTGGTGTTTATGCATGTCATTAGTCCCCTTCCCTATTCATGAATATTATTGTCTCTGTATTGATTAATTTGGCTGGTTAGTAATTTGCATGTTATTATGGAGGCACCAGGTAGGGCTCCATAATTAAGCTCGTTTTGTGCTTAAAGCTGGGATTCAACAAATATGTCTGAGTACAGTGTATCCTTTCCATAATTGCATCACTTACTCTCTGAGTACACAATATTATTTTTAAAAGAATGTGCAAGTCCTTACAGCTTCCCATTGCACTGCTTTCAGGTATAAGAGGCATTGAGCAAGGGGCAGCAGTGGCTGTGGGGTCAAAGGAGAAATTGGGGGTGAGTTGGAAGCAGAACTGTTTATGGGCCTGCAGGGAGAGAAGGAATGTCTGTAGGGAGGGGGGGGGTTTGTAAAGGAGACCTGTGCTATGTAGAAGGGGGGGGCTTGAGGTGCAGGGTAGGGGTAGGGAAGTACTGATGTTTCTGAATTTTAATGGCTCTCCCTGAGCTCTGGCCTCAGCGGCCCAGGCAGTTCTACCTCACTGCACAGTGGATACAGCAATGTCATAGAGACCCTTTCCATGCATTAGAAGCTTTGTCACCGGAGACACTAGGCTTCCCACTCCAGACCCCTTCCTGGACATCTCTGCATAAAAGCCTCATATTTCCCATATATGCACGCACACACACACACTGCATGTACATCTCTTGCTTCCTCCCACTCTCCTTGCCTTTAACATGAGTTTACCCCTGCTCTCCTAGAACCCAGCACACCACCCTTATTCCCCTTCAGAAAACCCTCTTTTCCAGTAATCAACTCCCACCACAACCCCTCTATCACCTACCTTATTCCTCCTTATTGCCCAATTTGCCTCCAGGTTTTCATAGGTAAGCCACATTTAAAACATTCTCTTTCAATTACAACAGTTTCACTCCATAGTTTCATGTCTTGGAAGTTTACTTGGTAAGTTTTCCTATACAACCCATGAGTCAAATGAGAAGTAAGGTCCAGAACCACCATTGAACTGCAGTTGTTTTGTGTTGCACAGACAATGCAAAGCAGCTGTAAACCCAGTTTAACTAGCCAGTAATCTTTAGCTGCTTTGTGGTTGTCGACAGTCATGCAAAGCAACCAGAGTGTACCACTGAATCTGGCCCTAATATTAAAATTCATGTGACTCACAATATCTCAGAAACCCACTGCCAAAAAAATATCTCAGTGATCCAGGACTCATGATCTCCCCACAACTTTCCTTCTCATTTGATCATTGGATCAGAAACTGGTACTGAGAAGGTGGGCCATGGAAAACTGACATCTAGGGGGATGAGAACCAGTGGAGAATTGTAGTAGTTGAGAGCTAACATTTCAGAGGAAAGAGAGGGAACTGGCAGTGAATGAATGTGTATATTTAGGGGCAGAGGGAGTGGGTTATTCAGCAGCTGTGAGAGAAAGTGAAGGGTTCAGTGGTTGGGACAAATTCAGGACCCTGTCATAGGGAGAATGAAGGATGAAAGTCTGGTGGTGAGTAGGGCTGGTTGGAAAACAAAATTTCTTTCCACAGAAAATCTGGCATCACAATATTTGCTTTCATTCTGAATTGGAACAAAGTCAGGATTTTGAGGTCTGTCATGGAACGGAAATCCAAAATATTTCAAATTCAGAAACATCTAATTGTTTTGATAATGTCAAATAATTTTGTTTAGATAATGTCAAATTGTTCTTTCAGTAAGGTAAAAATGGTTCATTCCAGTAATGTCATAACATTATAATGTATAAAAATATTAAATATAATATACAAGAGAAGCATATATAAATATAATGTTACAATTCATATTTTAATATATACAAGTCAAAAATAATTGAAATGATAACATTGAAATGAAATGCGTTTACCTTTTCGAAACAAAATGTTTCAACATTAAGACAATGAACCATTTAGTTATTATCACAACAGAATGAGAGTCAATTTTCTTTTTTATTTTCTCCCATTTACAATGTCATCAGATTCAATACATCCTTGTGAAACATTTCTATTTTGATAAAAATGCATTTTCCAGTGGAAAACTGTTTTATTGAAAATTTGTGACCATTTCTAGTGGTGAATATTCCGGTCTTCAGCTAGTCAGTGAAATGTTGTCCTCAGTGTTATGATACAGATTAAGTATATTCTGCATGTTAAGATGTACAAACATTGATGACAAAATTTAATTTTTAGAGTTAGGTTTAAATATATTAATTTTTTTGGTTCATAAAATGAGTTCAAAACTGTAAGAATAATTAATCAATCTTAAGAAAAAATAACCCGCCAGTATATCATTACAAATAAATCATGGCATTGTTTTACAACAATATTTCACTTTCTTCTTTAACAAGTTAGAGGAATCTTAGCCCAGTACTTCTATAAATTTTCTTCTCAATTGTTGCATGATGATCACATATTTCAAACATTAGCTAAAGTGTTCAGGAGAAAGGGTAGGTAAATCACCTCCTTTTGCTTTTAGTAAATTCTCCACACCATCTGGTGAAGGAAAATGTATTGAAGAAGCAGCTAAAAGTACAGTCAGTCATAGTAAGAAATCATTAAGTGGATACAATCTATTTATCTAAAAAAAAGAGAGAGAGTTAAAGTATGTGTTAAAGCTAACAAAAGTCTTGTAGACTGAAGAAGTGTACCAAACAGAAAAGATCATTTGGGGGCAGATTTTGATACCCTTATTCACACTGAGTAGAAATTCACTCAGACTATGTTATATATACACACACACGTATACAGACAGACATTTCTTCTGTAAAACACTACTGTAACAGATGTAGGGCTTTACTCCACAAATAGTGCCACTGACTTCAATACCACTATTTTTGCAGGAAGTGGCTACTCAAAGTGATTATAGGTATCTAACTCTTCCGACTATAAGAATGGCCATACTGGGTCAGACCAGTGGTCCATCTAACCCAATATCTCTGTCTTCTGACAGTGCCAGATGCTTCAGAGGGAATGAACAGAACAGGGCAATTATTGAGTGATCAAGTCCTGGTCGTCCAGTCCCAGCTTCTGGCAGTCAGAGGCCATTAGTCATTGTGGGCCAGATTCTGCCACCCTTCCCATTGTTGAATTGTACCATACTCTTGGCCTGAGGGTGACCCACTTATGCTGGTGGTGAGCAACTGTCCACATGAATAGTCCCATTGTCTGCAGTGGGACTAGTCATATGAGTAACATTCCCCATTGTGCGTAAGTTGTTCACAGTTTGGCTTTCTGTGAGGAGTCCCATTGAAATAAATTGTCTAGAGGGGTCACTAAAATGGCTCTTAATTGAAAGCAGTGAGACTGCTCACTGAGTAAGGGTTACTCAATAAGAGTAGTAATGGAGGCAGAATCTGACCCTGTTGTATTATTTGACATCTGACATATGAGGATGTTTTTTCTACATGCTGCAGCATATAGACTATCATTCATAGTAAGAGACTCGGCTGTTGCGAAAGTGTGACAAGTTTAACTCAGGGTCTGCAATTTATCACACCTCAGGTTTAATTGGCGCTTGAATACCTATTTGTTTAATGCATCAGGGTGCGCTTGCAGAAGGTAACAAATCGTTTCCATGGTTCAAAATGAGAGGAAAAGTTTAATTCAAATATAACCCTTCCAGTTGATTACAACCAGCAGGAAAATGATGGGTCCCCTCCCCTATTTTGCTTCTTGCTAAGATTCAAACATCTAGCAGTTTTGTAATGTTTTGAACATGATAATTTATTTCCTGCAAACACTCTGTCACTGCAATATATTGCTGGGAATTGTTCAGTTCCAATCTTGAACTAAACTGCCGTGTAAAAATGAACTTTAATGCAGAATTTCCTGAGACGATAATTGAAAATTCTGGTATTACAATATACAAGTAAACTGAAGGAAAGGCAATGATAAAATGGCTCAATGTTTTGCCAGTTGAGCTTTCATTGTCTTACTGCTAATGATACTCTAATAAAAATTATCTGGAAATTGTTCTGGTATGTTCCTTATACTACACCTTAAAAAATTATTATGTGGAAATGCTAAAAATAATAATAATAAAAACGAAAAACACATTTTTAAATTTGGAAACAGTTTGACCTGTGAAAAATGCTTGGATTTTCATCACTTTAATCCTTCTTCATATGGCACAAGTGTCGTATAGCCGTTGTATCTTTACATGTGTTGAAAACAAATCAGTCTGCTTTGAAGCATAAGGCACATTTTACAGTTGTCTAAACAGGTCATTAAAAAAGCTGCTAAATGTGAGCCTGAAAATTCCCCCTTCCTCTCCCTGCCCCCAATATCCACGGCCAAAATTGAAGAAGCTCATTTTGGCAGGGTAATAAAATTAGGAAACCGCAAGTATATAAATGAATAAAAGGCTGATCTTTTCCTTAAAGACTGTGCATAGGACAACTTTCTTTTCAAATCATCCAATTTAAAATTTTTGTTATAAAAATCTCATTTCTAATTAATAACAATGCTTTTAAAGTGAGGCTTATTTACTGTACTTAAGGATTATGGATTGGATCCTTCTCACATTTAAGTCATTAGAAGCTTGGCCATTGTCTCAAATAGAAAGAGGAGCACTCCCTAGATCCCTGTAGTTTTGTTTTATTAATACCACTTAGTTCAGTTTTGTTGTAATGAAAAATGCTTTCCCCCTGCATCCCTTGCTTCGAAGTGGTAGCCAGAGAGAAAAGCAAGAAGCATGGGCTGTGTGGAGAGCTGTATCCTGTTCTAATCACAGCCATGCAAGTCCTTCTTTATTCCAATTAATTTATTTTGCCTTTATGAACTTGAGAGACTGGCTGTTGCTTTCAAGGAGCCTGACATTTCACTCATCTGAAGGAGCCTGGAATGTGACAGGGGAAAGGGAGGAGAAGTAAATCAAAGCAGATAGCAATTCTCCAGATGTAAAGTATTTTTCTTTCCCCCCGCCCCCGTCCCTATTTTTTTTTCCACCAGAAATGTCAAAGTCTGCTGACGTTTTAATTCCTTTATAATATGCAGTGAGCGTATACAGCCCAATCCTGCTGCCACTGAACTCAGTGAGAGTTTTGCCATTGACTTCTGCTCCCAATGAAACCCAGAGCAAATTTCTCATGAAACTTAATGAGCGCACACTCAGGTCTATATGAGCAAAGGATCAGACTCACCATTCCATTACACCAGTTTTACGGTGGTACAATGGGTGTAGCAGAATAATGGATCAGGCCCAAAGCAGCAGCACAGTGCTAACAGAGTTAGAGCTACAACATTTATTTACAAGAAGGAGAATCATACGCTTAACACCCCACACAATGTGCTTAAAGATTTACCTCACAGCCATGATATGACAAATGTGTTTTCCTCACCAGACTTCCTCCTTTGTCAACTATTCATTAATAAGGAATTCCTTTTGTACGTAGCACTGACATATACCAAAATATAGCCGATGTATTTGTTTAATAGGTTTATTCTTTTTGCAGGTTTTATAATCGTATTTCATCAACTGGTACAATAAAACATAAAAAATGAAAAACAAGGATGGTTGAGATTGGTAAATCTATTCAGGTTTATCCTTAAGTTTTATGGTTAAATAATATAGGGTATTTGTTTAAGCAGGCTTCAATGTATATCCTGACCTCTAGCATTTCCAAACACAGCAGCTTATTGTTGTGTCCTTTAAATATGGGAAATAAGAATGTTTTTAGTTTGCTATTTAAAAAAAAAAGAACGTGTACTATGATATTACATGGCCCAGGAAATGTTCGCAGCGTGCTCCTTGGCTTTCATTCGTAGAACGGCAATACTGGAGGACCTCCTTTCAAATTCTGGCTTGGTTTCAAATGCGTGTCCGTTGGTAGCCCCAGAAAGTAAAGAGTCAGTGAAAAAGTTGTTGAGGGGTACATGGCTGAATTGGTTCTGGTGGTTTGAAAAGCCCGTGTAGCCAGAATCTGTCCGGGGTGAGTGAGAATAAGGTGTCATACAGGAGGAAGTGTCACGCGGTAGCATGCAGGAAGTGACCATTGAGCTGCTAGCTGCATTTCCTGCCCACAGATTGTTCTGAATCTGGAACATATAAAATAAGATTACATTTAGATTTTTTTTCGTGTTTTTTTCTTCTTTCTTTGGTTTCCCTCACTAATTCTGATGTATAATATTAGCAACTATCCTACTAGTTCTATACAATTTCAGTGAAAAACACAGTGAAGATACATCATTGGCAATGTATTAGATCATATGCCAGGGAGCTAGGACTGCTGAACCCTTTCTCTGCTCTGCCACTTATTCACTTGGCACACTGAACTTAAATATAGCCATCTTCCCGTGGAGATAAAGAACCCAATCTAATGCCCATTATAGTCAGTGGAAGCCTCCAAATGATTTCAGAAGAAAGGGGCTGTAGAAGTGAAAATATCATTGTCATTATAAAAAGCTTTGATAGTTGAAAATTTGCACTTTGTTTTATTATTATTACTTATTTGTATTTCTGTAGACGGGACCCCATGCTGCTAGTCACAGAACACAAAGCTCAAAGAGCTTACAATTTAAGTATAAGAGAAGTAACAACAGATGGATACAGACAGATGAGGGAGTACAAGGAAACAATGAGGCAATATTGATCGTCATGGTACGTAGTGGTCTCAGCACACCAGTCACCTAATGTTGCAATGTTTTGCATATGCATCATGGCAAAGGAGAGTTTTTAAGTGAGTATTTGAAAGTAAAAATACCAAACTTTGAACTGAACGGATAATTTTCTCAAGCTACTAATGCTTGACTATAAAATATGAAATTTCAGCATCTTGGATAGCTTTGTATAGTCAGTTACTTTAAAACAAATGAATCCAGAAGATACAGACATGAGTCATAACACATTCATGGCTCTTTTCTAAAGTGGTTTCAAAGATGGTTTTTAGTTAAAACTGCCTTTTTCATGATGTTTTAAAACAAAATTACACCCATGAACCTTTTTTCCAGTTCTCTGCCTTAACTGGCTATGCAGCGTGGCATTTTTGTTGGAAAACCTTGCATGACAGACTAGGAGACAAACTTTGTGGTTACAGGCAATGTCTGCTACGGATCTGGAGTAACCGCGTGTGTAGGGTTTGCTGTATTATGCCTTTTTTGTTTGGCAGTCACCTAAAGCCTAATTTTTTAAATATCAAGTACCACTGGTTTCTCCTGTCTTCGGTGTCTATTTTTATATAATTTATGAATCTATATTTTTCATATATTTGTTATTTGTTAGATGGCGGTTTACAAGGATTTTCAAGGCTCAGCACAACTTCTGCCTCCATCTCAGATTGTGTATATTTTTACTCCCCTATCTGTGCACTTTGCTCCAACCAAGACTCACATCCAACTCTCCTTCTTTGTCTTCTCCCATTCTCTACTTGGCACCTCCCATCATGCGGCCACCTTATGCATGAATGGCTGACTTGATCTTACAATCCCCCTTTCTTCATACAAGTCTCTCCCTATACAGTTAGGGCTTGTCTACACAGAGCTTTAGTCCACAGCAGAGGGGTGTACATTTTAGTCCACACTAGCATGTCATGCACTAACAGGCTCAATGTGGACCCTGCTGATACACACTAAAAGTTCCCTAGTGAGAGTTAATGTAGTCCTGTTTCAAACTTTACTGAAAAAACAATAAATCCATGATAAAGACAACTTTCCCCTCTCATTCACGATGGGGAAACTGCTCTGCCAAGAACTATATCATGCTCTTTCCATTTTCTGTGGTTTTCCCCACACCTTAAAAAATGTGTTTGTTACATTTTCATGCTGACTTTAGATTGCAAACAAATTGGGATAGGGCCTGTATCTTTTTATGTGCCTGTTAAGTGCTTTACACACTTATCGTGCTATTTTGGAGTGTCACAAATTGCTCCATAGGTCACAAAGTGAATTCCCATTATAAACCCAATTTTGCCCCCATTTTTTCCTGTCAAATTTGCCATCAGTTGGAAAAGGGGTTAATGAATTATGACACCCCACACAAAAAAAAAGTGGCACTCCCAAGTTAAAAAATGTTTCTGATGCTTTTTTTCTCTACTCCTTCATAGCAAACACACACACACAAACCACCAACCAGAAGGACAGAGATAAATTATGGTTTACTAAACTCGTCTAGTTGAGATCTAATGTGCAGATATAAACATGAGGTAATTAAACTCATATTATAAAAGTTAATATTTTAAATAATATTGTTAGCATGGGTCTTCGGGAGCTGAAAAACTCATTTTGTATCCTTGGCAGCTCCAGAGACAGTGCTAGGAGTAGAAAGAGGCAGCCATGGGGAAATGTTTCTTCCTGGGTGTCTTGCAGAACACTTGGCAAACAGGGGGCAAATAAATCACACCCATCCTGAGGCTCCTGTTCTCCCTAATCTCTCTCTCTCACACACACACATACACACCCCTCCTAAAGATCTGCTCCTACATATCTCAGGTGGTCTGCTGGGAGAGATGGGGGGGAGGACATGAGACGGAGAGAGCAAAGTGTTGGGGGCAGGAGGGAGGGGATAGCAGGGATAATTCCTCCTTCCTGTGGGTCTCCTGAGATTGACAGGAGGAAAGAGACCCAGTGACCCTTAGGAGGCTTGTCAGTCCCCATCCACTTCCTGCTTTTGGAGGATCCCGACCTCACAGAAACATCAGGCCCATAGGAGGCCCACCCCATCCCTACATGCGGCTTCTGATTCCCCAAAGGACCAGTTTGAGCCTGTTTTAACTTGTCATAGGCTGAAAAGCCTAATTTTGCTCCTCAGAGATCAGGGAAGCCAATTTCAGCTATCCAGGAGCTAAGGAACCTGCTATGTCATGTGTGGGTCAGTGCCAAGGCTACTAAGGCTTATAGGAGGAGGCTGCCCACTAGTTATTCCTAAGGTTCATAGAGAGGGTCATGAGTATCCTTCTTAAGGCTCAAGAGATAGGGGTCCCTGAGGATCCTAAGGCCTGCAAAATGCAGGCCCTGGTGTGGATACAAAGCCTTGCAGGGTGTGGGGTTGAGGAGGAAGAGACCATCAACAAACCTCATGAGGCCTGTAGGGATGGAGGGTTGAATACTGCCTCCAATAACTCTAGAGGAGGGTGAAGGTTGGAAAGGGCCCCAATGAGCCTTAAGGTTTACAGGATTTGTGAAGTCCCTTAGAGCCTTTTAAAACTCATAGAGACAGGAGGTACCAACAAACCTGCTAAGGCTTTTACAGATTTGGATGCCTAATAACCACCAAGGAGTCTCAGGGGATTTGAGCTTCCTGGATTTTCTTCATATAAATGTAAGGCTGGAAGGCACCTCAAGAGGTCACCTAATCCTGCACTGAGTCATTAGGACCATTTAAACCTCAGCCATTCCTGACAGGTGTTTGTCCAACCTGTTCTTAAAAACCTTCAGTAACAGGGATTCCATAGCCTCCCTTTCAAGCCTATGTTATCCATCCAACAAACAGTTTTGTCTTTCTAGAGCTTGTGCTAACTCTGGCCTTCTTTATGATCATTCACATTCCACAGAAACAAATCTGCCTTACAAACTCCTGGTTAGACAATAACTTACTGACAGTAATTAATCATTCCCCATTCCTTCTGGGGGGGCCCAATCCTCCAAGGTGCTCATGGTGTTCAGCTTCTCATATGCTCAGGCTCTATGACAACCAATGACCTAAGTGTCATTAGACACAGCACTCATGGGCCAGATCCTCTGCTAGTGTAAATTAGCATAGCTCCATTCAAAGCTTTGCCAGTTTATGCTAGCTGAGGATCTGTCTCACTGTGCCTACAATGGAGACAGAAAACTAATTATATACTAATGCTCTGTGTGGAATTTTATAGTCTACCTGCAAGCAGAACAAGTATGGTGGCTGTTCCAAACATAAGCCATTATACTTCTGAAAGCTCTTAGAGATAGTGCATGATCCCCAAAACTACAGTCTTATGAAGCTATTCTTGCAGTACTGTATTTCCAGTTTGAATGATATTCAAATGTAGAGGATTTCACAAGAAAGATGATTATGTGATATTTCCAGCCCATAAGTATCCAATCTGAATCTTGGAACCTTTTGAAATTTCCCCATTACTCCCATAGTTGACATGACATACATTAAACAAAATCCCATTTTATCTGTCTTGCCCAATGTTCTTTAACAAAACAACAAAACAACAAAATCTTTAACAAAAATCAGGGCAAATTCTGCAATTCCATGGGCTGCCGAGGTCTGATTACTATAATAATTTTGCCTAAAAACTGTTTTAAATGGGCAAAACAGACAAGTGGGACCTTGTCCAATGGTATGTCTACTACTGTGATGATGGGTGGACTTCAGAAGCTTCAAAGGTTAAGTTTAGATGTTCCTATAAACCTATGTGGTCTGGAAGTATCACAAGATCAGTACTTGTGAGATTTCTGCTACCTCTGTGTTTGTCATACTATAAATATAGTACCACAAGTTTTCATGATATTTTTATCCTAAACACACCCCTTTCAATTTGAGGTTGTACAGGTGTAAGTGAGGGAAGAAATCAGCCCATAATGCTGAAATAGATCTATGCCAGTCAAAAAAATGAACAAATGATTGATTCTTAAAGATTACAAAGTGGTCCCACAGATTCCTTCATTGGAGGAAGGAATCTTAACTAGTAGCTTGAATTTGAAAAGCCTAACAAGATCCTGGAAGATGCTTACAGCTTGTCTCCTGAGGCAGCTACACTTTTCAAGTGTATGTATCATGTTTGCTTTATCATCCTATTCCCCAGGTCTTTTTTCTGTTCCTTTATTATTGGAAATGAAAATTATTCCGCCTTCATTTTAAGTGTGTGAATCATTTTTGATATCAGAGCTCCACTATTTAGCAAAAAGTTATTCCATAACTGTCTCAAAGTGAAATTCTAAGTGCAAAATATATCCTAGAATTAAATATAAACATAGCAATTCTTTACAATAAATAGAAATGATCAGTGCTTTTTCTATAGTGTACATAGCAGATGTAGACAGGAGGGAAAGGGGACATTGTGCACATGAATTTAAAGAAAATATTTTTCCTCTTAAAATCTTGTGTGATCTGTGTA